AAGAGAACCAGTATCACGCAATGTCTGGTGAATTCGCGTAAATACACTTCGAGATGGAATCCTTCGATCGGGAAAACGCCTTTGGTATTCTTCAACAGCAGCACGTGCATTGCGACCGCAAAATCCACACACAAAATGCATATCACAATATTCCACGTGTGAAAACACAAGAGGCATTTCAGCAACTCATCACACAACTAATTTACCACCCATTCACGACCCCGCCGCAACGTAATCTAGGCTCTGTAGGAGCTTACGGTTGTGTGACTCACAACACTCAAGGACAAACAGATAAGGGTCTCAGCTGACAGGTACGTATAGTGCGTGGACCTGCAAGAAGACCACACTTTTCTCTGGCCATTATCTCCGTAACCGTTCAACTTTGGACATAGGTGTTTTGGGTTATATCGGCATACTTTAACATAAGGAACACCCTCCCGAAGTTTGGTCGATTCCTCCTGGGACACCCTGTATATTGTTTGCACTTGGGACGGAGTTTGTATCATTTATCGTGTAGAGTGCAACAGGATGCTTAAATATAATATTGTGAACAAAACTATGTTTGAATCGGTTAATCCATGGACTGATGCGGCAAAGATGAACAAAGGAACAAAACTATGTTTGAATCACTTAATGCATTAACTGATAATTTTGTATGGCTGTTCACATGCAGTGATAGAGTGTGTACTGTTTGATTGAAATGAAAGCAGAGACTAGTTGGGTCACTGCTGGACCACATTCCTTTCATCTGACATGGTATTTTTATGTAGTTAAACCATTATGCAAGTTCTGAATTAGTGCTATTTACGGACCCCTGTTTACTTCTTGTATTCTGTTTACTTTCATTGAAACAATTTCATATATCTCCAGTCTGAATTCATAATAATTCTACCATATGTCGCTCAGTAGTACTTAACCTTCTTCATCTGAAAAAGTGTTGCTTAATAACGTGAGGAATATGCGGTTTTGAAATGATAGCAATATGGAAGGAATATGTTGCCATTTAAGGTATACTTTTTATCTGACCATTTCAAGCATTCAGAGACTAAGAGAGACTTGTTCATATGTATTACAATCTCATTGCAGTTTTTATTTCTGTCTTCAGTGTATGTTACATCTCACTGTGACATGTTTTGGCAGTATACGGCCATCATCTGTTATATGTTTTTGTGCGAAAATCGTTTCACTGCATGTCAAGTTGCACATCGCATGTTAACACGATGCTAATTTTAAACCACTCTTTGTTGCTCACCACTAAGATTTCATAAAATATTTGCATTGAAACGGTAATAAATATGTACTAATAGTATTTACATTAATGCAGCAGCATGCTTAAGTGTAATATTAATGAGGGTTTTTTAAAATTTGAACTGTGATGTGCTACATACAGCAGTAGAGCACAGCTACATTGTTCACACAAAACCCTCCCAACTAAGCTTGGAAATAGATGGCAGCACATACACAAACTTGTGAGCTCATACAGGAGTTGTGCCAAATTCTTGTAACAGTAAATATCAATCAGATACAAGGTCTTTTAATTTGGATCTGTTAATATGAGTTAGGGGTACATCTGCTGAGTATCAGAAGGTGTTTTACATGTCTCCCAGTATTTGAAACTTTTTTCTTTTAAAAAAGTCGCATGAAAGAGATTTCAAATTAGAACAGGCTAATTATCTCATTTTTAATTTGTGAGGTCAGTGGGGCTTCTCCCAAGAAAGTGGGCCTACATATTTGATAGAAATTATCCTACTAGAGTTGAATATGTTTACATCAAAGGAAGGCTAGATAAAATTAAATTTTGAGTTAAAAATGGGGCAGTTATTTTGTCATTTTTGACTTTATGGAAAATTAAATATTTTTAATTAAATAATGTAAAATCACACTCTGTTAATAGTACATATTTGGCCCAAATTTGTCATGGACAATATATGACCAGTGCTTAAAAGAAAATAGAATGAAACAGATTTTATTTTAAAAATGGGACAGTTGATGTGTAGTTGTTTGCTGCATGTGATAATGGATCTCTGTCATATAAAACTGTAGAATTTCTATCAAGATGGATGTCTGGTAACTCTGTTCCAAGTAGATTTCATGAATCACGGAGAATGTCTCACCATAAAAGCAAACCGTTGAGGGAATTAATTTCTTATGGGTAGAATAATAGTGTTTTCCTGTTGCTTGCTTCAATGTGAACAGTTGCATCTAGGCCATATGTTTATTCCATTATCTTGTGTTCTGTATAGGTTGTTAATGTAACATGATGAAATATGGGGGTAATTTTGAAAGATGGATCAGGAGGTAAATGAGAGGAAGCAGGCATGGGATGTTTTTGTTTTACTGTCCTGTGATTCCCTTGGATGGACTCTGGGCAGCCATTTAAAATCTTAACACAGGGAGACAGTTGATGGCTAGGTTTTCATCCAGGTATCTCATGAATGTGAAATAAGCATTACTACTGTGTCATTGTGTTTGATGCGAAAGGTTGTTCATTGTTTAATGTTATTAAGTACTGCTTTCTAGTGCCGAAAATCATGCTGTTGGTGCCTTTTTGTTGTTGATATCTTTTTAAAATAAGTTCTAAGGATCGAAGCTCTTATTTTGAACCCAGTTTAAAACTGACTCATTTATTGAAGTGGTAACCAGGCTGTGACTCAGAATTTGGGAAACGATGAACCAGACAAATTCCTCAGGTCTTTTTGTTGAGGGATTAAATTATTTGGATTGTGATCTGGAAACAACTTGCATAAATTGTTGACAAGGAAATGATCACTGAAATATTTAGACAAACGCTACTTCATTGACTTCTTTTTGATAATACCAGTAATACAAAGCAGGTTGGTGTAATGGTAATGGTAATGGTTGTATTTTGGAGGTGCTCAGTTCATATCTTTGGCCATGACTCTTGTGTTTCCTCAGTCCCTCCCAGCAAATGCCAGGATAGTACCTCAGTCTGGCCATCACCACTTCATTCCAATTACTTTTCAATTTGTTTTTCATAATCATTGTACAATTTGATGCTGTTTAGTCTAAGACCGACAGGATCATGAAATAAACCACAGAAAATGAACAGTAGCAACAAAGGCCACTCTTCTCTGACATAGTGAATTTTACAGTTCCACAGGGTTAGACTTTATTGAATTCACTACTAACTAGTTCGTACCTCTAGTAAAGTACTATAACATTTTACCATATGAATTTCACACATCAGTTGTAGTTTTTCTCCATATTATTTGCAGGACTGCAGTGTTGTTATTTTCCAGATTACTGAAATTTTCTCCTTAAAGGTTTCTTTTTCTTAAGTGTCTATCATCATACCAATTCTAGGCCCCGTGCATTGAATATTATCAGTGTTGTACATTGAATGCTGCTGGCATTGTAACCATCCCACAAGTCAGCACAGTTAATACTACATACTCACATAGCAGAAAGTCACATTACAGCCGGTGGGTAGCAATCATGCTTCATATTTGGGGGGCCCAGGTTCAGATCACGGCACAGGGACCAGCTTTTCACACCTCCAGGTAAATGGCAACTGTGTCCTTCCACAGCCTTTCGATTTCATTATTACTGATCATCTTACTGTTTTATTCCATGTTGTCTAAGCTAGTGACATTATCGATAATTGATCTAAAAGTAAAAAAATGCATAAATTGATGTTGATGATTAAAATTATCAGTGTCAGAAGGCCTCGAAAGGCTTGGAAATTGTACCAAATTTCATGAGTTTGTACAAAAGTCAGGGTATGGGACAGACATGCCAATGCTTATAGCTTGATAATATAATTTGAAAGAAGGAACTGCTGCTCCTGAATTTATACAGCACGCTCATCCTTGCTGTACACAGTGTACACAATACTTTCTTCATAAGTCCATTATTGTTACTTGTATCATACAAAATATTCTTGACTGATTGTTAGTGTATTTAATGATGCCATTCTCTTTGAGAGATCTAGGAACACCACCATAAAGCTGGCCAGTAATCTGGCTGAAATTCAAGACTATTATCTGCTGCTAGCATATTAGTACTATATCTGTTCAGTTCACAGTGCGTCATGTCTAATATATTTCAGAAAAACGAATGTGATTTTTTGGTAGTGAATATTAGTCAGTAATGAACATTGTGGTCTCAGTCCCACTTGTAACATAATAAGGTGGGAAAGAGCTTCTGTTAAGCGCACTTTGCAATAATGTATAGACATCTGTGAGTATTAAATTTGCTTTGTCTGTCTCTACACTTAACTCTTTGCAGGTAATAATGTGTCTATGCATAAGCTAATTATGATTAAACTTGTATTCATATAGCTGTTCTTGAGGCAGTGGTAAAGGAACATTTTCAGTGCCTCTGCTAAGAATAGAACTACAGCCATCTTCATTGTAGCTGGTCACTTTATAGACTGAACCATCCCATTTTCATGTACTTTGAAACCATTGGCAGGCATCTAAAGAAGGTCAAAATTTAGTCTGTATTATGTCAGTTTGAATCTCAGTTTGAAACAGTATATTGCAATAGGAATGAAACAGGTTTTACTCTGGCATTCAAAAGTCGTTTTAGATGAAAATTTGTTACTCCTTTTAATCTCTTGTCATATCAAAAGAGAGTCCTCCAAGAGCAAATCTTAGTTTCAGAAGCTGCTTGTAGAAGTTTCCATGTCCTGTAATTCTACAGCTAATAATAACTGAAGGCTGAGAAAGAGATGAGAGAGTAATGTGAAAATGGACCTGAGCTTGTGAGGAATGAGGTGGATTGAACTAATTCGTAATCATGTTCACTGGCAGACTTTATTGTTCTAGGTGTTCATGTTTCAGGTTCTGCTTTGATGGAGGCATAGACACCAGTACTTGTGACTTTATATGTAAGCTTTGGACTGGGTAGAGGAAATTTTCTTGAAATATAAGTAGTAGCATGGCCAGCATCTTGTTATTGAATCCTTTGTATTGTTGACAGATGTTCTGAAGAATCAAGTGATGCCTCTAGTCAGCATCTCGCCTGATGCATCATTGTTTGATGCAATCCGGACGCTGATACACAACCGCATTCATCGGCTGCCTGTCATCGACCCTGATACGGGGAATGTGTTGTACATACTCACACACAAACGTATCCTACGGTTTCTCTTCCTATATGTAGGTACAATCAGTGCTGTACCAGTTGTTGAGAGCATATAATGAACTTGAGCATTTATAAATACTTTAGTATTAAGTGTAGAACAACATTTTACCATCTCCTTATTTTGTTCTTTCGTTGTAGAATCTGTGAAGTACCACCTAACATATGAGCATGTGTGCATGTGTTATTGCTTCTTGTTTCATAGAGATGCAGAGCTCAGTCTCTGTAAACAAAGATGAAAGAGTAATGGTGTTCAAAAGCAGTTTTCTTATTTGAACCTAAGACAGATACAAAATAAGAAAGAATTAAGGAAATTATAAAGTGAGAAGTTTTATGGGCTTTATTGTTTACAGAGTAAATAATGTAGGTCTACAGTATAAAAAAGATTGCATTTTTACAAAAATCAGTTTCACATAACTGCTTTTGCCCTTTCCAGATCAATGACCTACCAAAGCCAAGTTATATGAACAAGACGTTGAGTGAGTTGAAGATTGGTACATATGATAACATAGAAACAGCCATTGAAGACACAAGCATCATACTAGCATTGAAGAAATTTGTGGAGAGGCGGGTGTCTGCATTACCCATCATTGATCCCGAGGGCCGACTTGTTGACATTTATGCCAAGTTTGATGTCATTGTGAGTATATACCATGCACGTTCAGCCTTTATGAAGCAAAACTGACCTTAGAATTCAGGTACGAGAAAAGGAAGGTGAGAGAAATAGGTGGAAATGGTGTAAATATGTGTCTGAAGCAGGACATGGTCTATCTACAATAAGGAAAGAATTAGTGACAGAAAAATAAAACAAGTTAAGACATGTATGCATAGTGTATTTTGTCCCATTTGCTGTCTTATTGCCTCTGGATTTTAGGGTTGTGAATTCGTAACTGTCATAAATAACTTAAAATACATAAGGAAGATGAACAAGTGCTTATAATATAAAATGTGTTCAAAATCTGTTCAGTCTCATGGTATTGTTTGATGACACAGTCTAAAGTCCGTTTTAAATTATCTTGAAAATGGTGACGCTTAGAGAATTTCGGCATAAGACATGTGCTTTATTTGTCTCTACACTTTTGTTAACAATATATTTCACTCTGATAAATATTCAGCTCTTGATGTGTGAAGAAACATGTAGATCTTCATATGAAATGTTCATTTATTGGTGTCAGGTTTTAATGAAGATTGGACCGCCTCTGTGGTCTAGTGGTCAGAGATCCTGGCTACAGATCCAGAGGTCTTGGTTTCAATTCCCAGTGCTTCCAGATTTTCTGAGAAGTAGTGGGTCTGGAACGGGGTCCACTCAGCTTCGTGAGGATAATTGAGGAGCTGTTTCAAGGAAATAGTGGCTCTGGTCTAGAAAACTGAGATTAACGGCCATGGGGATCCATTGCTCTGACCACATGACACCCTCTATCTGCAAAAGTTGTCACTAACTTCGCCAACAAGAGGTGGTTGCTTGGTTGGTGTAGTTTGCTTGCGGACTACAGGCTACGGAGTTTCTTTTGTTTTTCTTTTGGAATTAGTTGTCAAATTGTTATATGCAGGTAGACAGACAGACAGACACACAAACATGGCAAAGCTGATCACACCATAGCTCAAGCGGTTAGTTGCTGGCTTCCCACCACAGCGACCCGGGTTCAATCCTGGTTCTGGCCAAGTGGGATTTGTGGTGGACAAAGTGGCGCTGGGGCAGGTTTTCTCCTACTACTTCAGTTTCCCCTGCCAATCTTCATTCCACCAATTGCTCCACAATCACCCTCACCTATCATCTTGGGCTGGTACAATAGGCTAGAAGTGGCCACAGTACGAGGGACTTAGCCCCACTCCGCTTGCAGCTTTTCTTTGTGAACTCACTAGAAGTGATTCTGATACCAAATACTGAATGGGGAAATCTTTATAAGAATTCAGAAATTAGTCAAAGACAGTATGGAAATTTGTAACAAATATTGGGAGTATAGATCAAAATATATCAGAAGAGTTGGGGCTGGCATTGGAAATGTTTAAAAATAATAAAATGGCAGGGAATGTATGGAATAAATATTTAACTTGTGAAGCAACCCTTCTTCCACGAATGATACGGTTAGTAAATTTATTTGATGCTCCTTGAAGAACTGATTATATAGTTGAAGAATTGAGGAGACATTGTTATTCGCATGTAAGAAAGCAAATTGGTTTGTTGCAATGATTATTGAGGAATTGGTCTGCTCAATACTTGTTACAAAGTTCATACAAAAATGTTTAAGTAATCAGATTAGCAAATTATCTGAAATAATACTACTGGAAGAAGAGAATATTTTTAGAAAAGGCTACTATTCTATAGTCTGTGTATTAAGAATGGTCAAGATGAGAGAGAAACAGACAAAATTATATTTCCCAGTATTTATTGGGTTTCTGTATTTTGAGTAGGCTTAAAGAGTCTGAAAGAAAACACTTTTGAAGGAAACGTTTAAAAAGGGGTTTTATAGCACGTAAAACAAGAGTAGTTATGAGAATGATTGAAAATGGAGAAATGTAAAATAATAATCCTATTGCTAGGCAACAACCATGAAATAAGCAGCTAAATAATAGCTGTTTCTGAGTAATGGGTCTGTAGCAGCAACAGACACGCATGCAACAATAGAAGAACTGTTGGAAGCAGTGTCCTCTGTTCAGCCCCAGTGGAGGCTACGAGTATATAGTGAAGGCCAGCTGCCATTAGAGAGAGTCATGAGACAGTAGTTAGAAGAATAGAAGAGTAGGGGGTAGTTGCAGGAAAATCGCCAGCCAGTAAGGACATGAACGTGATAGCAGAGGATCTGTCACCAGGCAACGACTTCTGAAGACTGTAACAGACTGAGAAGACCTAGTGTGGCCTATAGCGATTTGTGAAGTATGTAGAACAGTGAGAGCATAATCCGTACTTGTAGTTACAAGTTGCAAGAGTTCAGTAAATCCAATTACCATCCAAACCTCATCTGTAGTCACTAAAATTTGAAAATACAGTATCAGTAGATAAGAATGATAAATAAGGGAGGTTTCCTTTTCCTGTTAATTTTAATGTTGGCCTTTATGACAGAAGGAATTTTTTAAAGACATGTTTGTTGTTTTTGTTTTTACATAATTACATTGTTGGTAATGCAGTCCGTATAGTTCGATGATTCAGTGATACTGAATAATAAATTGGAAAGAAGAGAGAAGGAAAAGGTTGTGGGGTAATTAAGGTGATCTCTCCAAATGTACATGGAAAGACTAAGGAAAACCACAAACATCTCATTTGGGTGAGTTGGTGTCCTGGCTGAGATTTGAATGAAACACCTCCTGAATATGTCAGAAGCATCACTGCTAAAACAAACGTGCTTGGTGACTTGCCGATACAGAAGAAACATGAGAAGGGGGGAGAGAGATATGTTTGTATGGTAAATAACTTAATTCATGAATGGAACTTACTACGTAGTAAAGACAAGCAGCGGCACGCACACAAGAAGACTACACTGAATAACACCTGTACAGTGTGGAAACAAGAACTAGCCGCTCCAGCACTTTAGACATAGGGCGAGTAACCCTAACAATTTTAAATTTTAAATTTAAAATTTAGAGAAATTTTAAAGGATTTTAAAATCATAACTAAAGATTTTATAGTGCTACTACAGGAAAATCAAATTTGACGTGTGCAGTATAATCTACATACCAGACACATATCAACGAGGTAGATGTTGATAATACGAAGAAAATAACAATGTGTTTTTAAATGTTAAATTTTAGACTGGGTTCAGTGTAGCAGCAACGTTAAGAGTATACACCTGATGATGGCCGATAGAGGCCGAAACATGTAGTGTGGAACAGAACAAGACCAAAGACATATAATATATATTGTTTGCACTTGGGCCGGAGTTTGTATCATTTATCGTGTAGAGTGCAACAGGATGCTTAAGTATAATAGAGCATACTAATATTTTTTAGAATAACAGCCATATTGATGTGTTGTAAGAATCTGAGCATTGAACACTAATGAAAGAATACACTTACATGAAAAAAAATTAGGTGATAGGTATATGTTTCCTAAAGTGTACAGGTTATAGAATGAAGGATCATAAACATAAAACAGGTGTCAGAGAAGAACTGGGAATAAAATATCAGTAGAATAAGAAGAGAACTATAGAAGGAATTATCTGGAGTTTGTGAAAAGAATACCTGGTAACCAAATCCATTGATTCTCTTTCAGCATGTACAGAATGGCAGAAAATGCCAAGAATGTCTGACAGAATGTAGATGGAATGGAGTCGGTCTGCATTAATCGGAACAGGCCAGGAGGTTAATGTGTGATGTTTATGATTGTCACTAGGTTTGGAAGTTAATGGTTTCCCCTATTAGGCAAAGGTAAAGCTATCTCTGTAACAGGGCATGGAGGCCCCTAGGGCTGTGAGATGTCGAGGCTCCCACATTTTTTTCTGTACACTCAGCTGGCAGATGGTGAGGAGGTTATCAGCACTGGCCACCCTTTACCCCCAGGAAGATTCCTGGTACTTGTTTGTGTTAGAGGCTGAGTGAACCCCAGGGCTATAGTGGGACCAGAAGGATTAGGTCAATTGGGGAGGAAATACAGAAATGTCAGAAATATTTTTTATATTGTTGTAAACATTTTACAGAGTTATATACTTTTATCTGTTACTATTGTAATGTGTCGTGTTACAGAACCTGGCTGCAGAGAAGACATATAATAATCTAGATGTGTCCCTCAAGAAGGCCAATGAGCATCGCAATGAATGGTTTGAGGGTGTGCATAAGTGCAAATTGGAAGAGACTTTGCAAACAATCATGGAGAGAATTGTGCGAGCAGAGGTATATTTTGATACAAGAGTGTGCAGTGATGTATCTGTGTCATGTTAAGCTCTTACAAAGCCATGTAGGTTTAGCGTCCTGTCCATCCATTTGATATTTGTGATTGAATTAACTTTTGCAGTGTTAGAATGTTGGCTGTATGGGTTCAGCATTCATATTTCATATTACCTCTTGGTAACAGTACCACTGATAGCACCACAGAATACATCCTTCTTGAAATAGCATTACAAAATCCTCACAGCTTGGTTTAAGGCATCAACCAAGGGCTGCACCATAGCTTAAGCGGTTAGTCACTGGCTTCCCACCGCGATGGCCTGGGTTTGATCCCAGGTCTGTCAAGTGGGATTTGTGGTGGACAAAGTGGCGCTGGGATGGGTTTTCTCCGAGTACTTTGGTTTCCCCTGCCAATCTTCAGTCCACCAAATTATCCATCATCATAATCGCCTGGGGCAGGTATAATAGGCCAATCAGTGGCTGCTGTGCTCAGTGACCCAATTGGATTCCACCCCCNCCCCCCCCCCCCACTAAGCGAAAAGGCATCAACCATATATATGGATTTATCACAGTAATGTGCATTGCATTGGTTCCGTTCCCATGTGAAGTGTTTGAAAGTTAGAAGCACACATCAGTTGTGTATTAGAGCACCTTGTCACACAGCACAAAACTTTATCCACAAAAGAATAGGAAATTGTGTGTTACTTATAAAATATCTAAAAACTGATCACGAAACGATACCGAAGCTAACAGGGTTAACAGTGTACTGGGTTAATAGAGTTCAAGTATGGCAGCTTGGGTGTGCATTCTGTTTAACAGAATCGTGTATTAATCAAAATGAATCATTTATTTTGAGAGAAGAACAGAAGACAAAGTACTAAATACAGTGGTAAAGAGGAAGTATATAATTTTTGAACACTATAGTTTGTTATATTTTATTAATAGATGTTACCTCAATAAAATTGTATATATTTTTCAATCGCTTAAACTCATCTAGAATTTGAGAACATGGTGTTTTAAGGTAGTGCTGATCCTATATAAAAATATCACACAGCAGTTGCCTTGCACTTTTGTAAGGTTCTCATTGTATGTACTTCATGGAGACTTCACTGCTAGCATTCTGAAACATCAGCTGTACTATGATGTAGACAGTATCTGCCTTACTGCGGAAGGTAAACATGATTTGCCTTCAGTCTAGGGATAAGCAGATGTTTCACTATGTTAAGTATATTTGCAACTTAATTATTTTGTGTACATAAAAAAGAGATAGATTTGAGTGATTTAGCACACATACCCTTTATTATTTGGAGTTCTTNACTGTGTATAGGATTAAGAAATTGAAACAGCGGCCGAAGTCCACAAGGGCTGTAGAGCCCCCCCCCACACACACACACACATTATACAGGCTCAATGCTGAGCACATTATTAAATAACACTGTTAAAAAGAACCAGTCTTCGCACTTTTCCCATTAACCAATCCAACATTACACATGGAGAATAAAAATATATATTTTAGTGTTGGTGTGTTGTGGATTATAATGGCATTTAGTTGGATACTATTATGTAAATTAAAAATTAAATTTGCTTAGTGGGGTGTGGAGTCCAACTGGGTCCACTCAGCACGGCGGTCACTGATTGGCCTATTGTAACCATCCCCGGGTGATTATGATGATGGAGAATTTGGTGGAATGAAGATTGGCAGGGGAAACTGAAGTACTTGGAGAAAACCCGCCCCAGTGCCACTTTGTCCACCACAAATCCCACTTGACCAGACCCGGGTCCCCACGGTGGGAAGCCAGTGACTAACTGCTTGAGCTATGGCGTGGCCTTACTATTATGTCAGTTAAGAAACTAGCATTGTGTAGTTGTAAGTTCAAAATTATTTGTCTGCAGGTGCACAGGTTGGTGGTTGTGGATGAAGAGGACAAGGTGATTGGTATCATCTCGTTGTCAGACCTGCTGCTGTATCTTGTTCTGAGGCCCTGTGGTAAGTGACATGGAGGTGTAAATGACAAAGATTGGGAAAAAATGCTGTGGACTTAGTGAAGCTTAGTTCCTTAAGTAGGAATGTAATTAGGCATTGATAATTAAAGTGTCCCAAGTGCTGTTTGTAGCCAACATTTCTTTCTTATAAGGAAAGATGGTTTTATGATATCAACTTTTCTCTCTTCCTGTCACAAATCAATCTTGAGCCAGTTGACCAGTTTTCATGAAACTTGGCATGAACGTCTTCTTGCTTGCTTTGTGCTGTTGCTGCAGCTGTGTGCATTTCTGTAATGTGATTATACCTAGCACCACTTGATGCAGAAGTGTTAAAATTTTGTATAATTATAGATGTGTGAAAAATATGTGACTGCTGATAAGTCTTTCTGTCCTCCTATTTTTCCTGTTTTTATTTTCTTTTTCAACACAACCGCTGGACAAAATTTATATAAATTTTTCATATTTAGGTAGTTACTAATGGGGCATTGGATTTTGGCATAGAAAACCCTGAATGGAGGCAGAACACAATCACATGTATAAAATCTACATGAAACACTTTTTAAATGGTAACAATTGAAAATGCAGGTATTGTGCAGTACTTTGAAGTTATATATGTTTAACATAGTGGGAATATGTATTAGTGGATATTATGNACACGGGTGTTGGCTCGCTTACGTCGTTTTTTTTGGATGCGGGCTCAATTAGTTAACCCCCTAGCACAGGTTCCACAGGAACACCCTCACTGCCTGGCACCTACCCACTAACTCCCCGGCTTCCACTCACTAACTAACTCCTTGCCCCCGCAGCTGCTTCCAGAAACCACGCTCTTCACCATCTCGAACTTTCCACTGGGAGGGCTTCATGACCAAATGCATGGACCACTTCCGGTCTGCATACCTTCTAGAAGTTTCTCGAAGCTTCGAGCCACAGGTCCTCCACCCCCACAGGCACGGACGAAAGAAGGTATACCTACTTCCCCTTGAAGACAATGGACTCTNAATAAAATCTTTAGTTCTAATTTTAAACCTTTAAATTCTTGTCCAAATTTTAAAAATTTAAAATTGTTAGGGTTATTCGCCCTGTGTTTGAAGTGCTGCAGCGGCTAGTTCTTGTTTCCACACTGTATAGGTGTTATCCTGTGTAGTCTTTCTGTGTGCGTGCCGCTGCTATTCTTTACTACGTACTACAAAATATATTGTTTGCACTTGAGACGGAGTTTATATCATTTATCGTATGGATATTATGCACTGAACTCTATAATTAGTAGTTATAGTTCTTTCTAGATGTTCTTGTTTTTACCCAGTCAGGGAGTTTGCAGTGATGAACAACATTTTGTATCCATGAATTTCTCAAACACAAATAAAATAGTTGACTTGTTGTTGAGCTATGTAAATTTGTTTTAGTTCTGTTATTACAGACATGAATGAAGAATAGTGGCATCCAAAAAATATTACAAAACAATCTGCTGTTCTCCCTCATATCTTAGAACACAGTTCACCATTGCACAGTTATAATCTGCAAGGCTACATCAGGTATCTCACACTTGGCCCTTGTTTCAAATAAATACTGGTCATGTAGAAATTTTTACCTTTACTTGGTTGATATTTAGCCAGATAGATGGAGTAGTTTATTTAAGTCTATAAGAAAAGTCTAAGCCCAGATTGGCAAAGTGATGTGAAATTTTAATCAGTTTTCAGTATAAAATGTTCAAATCCATTCACTGAGACCACTCTTGGTGTCATATGGCAGATTCACAGACATATTACTCCTGTATAAAACTTTCCAGTTTCTCATGCCTGATGGACAGTGGCTAATAATTCAGTCTCCTACCTGAAAGAAAGAAGATTGTTAAAGTAAGAGAATGGGAATTGGGAATGTTGTAAGAAAGGGCAAACAAGGGCAGTTTATTCTCATGTTCTAGACTGTTTCAATCCTATGAGCTGATAAAGATCTGTTCCATTGTTCATGGGAGTTGTTATAATATGTGTTTATGACATAGCACTCCACAGAGGCAGAATATTCATATTCATATTTTTATTGGTTCCAGAAATCCACATTTTGCAATACAGCCTCCAGATATAGAACAAGTCAAATTATTTGTATGAAAGTCAACAATACTGTAATATTTAACTACATACACAAATTGTGTACATGTCCAACATACCATATAAAACTATATTAAAAATTGAAGACAACATAAATTCCCCAACAGAGTAACCAATTCAATCCATTTCACATCAGTCAATCAATCAATCAATCAATCAATCAACCCATCCA